TCACAAGAGATTTAATGGTTTACAGTACAGTAGTTAAAAGAGGATAACATGTGAAATTGAATAGATAATGATGCAAAGTTTTGTCTCAATATGAAAATCTGAGCGTATACTGAAGAATCAATAAAAACATGATTGTTTTACAACAATTTAATCACGAAATAATGAAAAGATTAACACCTCACGTAATTAAAAAAACGCGGGCAATATTTGACCTTATAGAAAATTGAATCGATAAGCCCCATCCGCTCATGTAATACCTGCTATCCCGGTTTAAAACCAACAAGAAAATCCCCAAATCTCAAAATCGAAACCATCCTTGCATGCAAACACGGGACAAAAAGTGGCGGCCGGTAATGAATTTCAATCTCCAATAAGTGTCCAATAACGGCGGATAATCCATGGCCGCCATCTTGAATATTGCCGGTCGGGGATTTCATTAAGAGCGGGGCTCAACTCGTAAAGAAACTACTCTACTGAGATCAGCTGATCAGGTAGGAATACTTCGCACAGCTGTTAGCAGAGGGTTCCGTGGTCCGAACAATATTAATTGCTCTAATCTAGGTTCGGGATACAAAACACCGGCTGAATTATTACATAATCCCTCAATCCATTATCCAATTTATACGTCTGTACCGCACATTAAACAGTATTTACGGTCGAGCAAGCAAGTGATTTACTTCCAAATTGTATTCCAATGTTTTTCAACTTTGTCTACAAAAATACACGTTAAAAATTTAAGTTCGCCAAATATAATTATTTTAATGCAATATTTGTAATTGATGAACACTCAAATAAGAAGATCGTGTACAAGCTAAACTCTTGTTACTTTCATGTTTGCCCGAAGGTGACCGATCCACAATGCTGATAACGTCAAAGTAATTTGCTAATTGCCAAGAACTCTACTTAGGCAAGTTTCGCCGACTACAGAGAAGTATTATACCTGTTCCACTGTAAACTTCATAAACACTCCACTTCGCTTTTAGGAAGATTAATTCAAAACTCAGACAGATTTACGTTTTTAATGAAATGTGCAATTAAATGTTTCAACAAAATAAATTTCAGAGTTCATTTTCCAAATAGTTGTTATTGACGATTATAATGAAACCTGTGGAGTTAGTACATAGAAAAATGTTATCAGCGAATTTTAAGTGGAGGTAATAACCGTGAGTTAAACCCCTATTAAGTTTAAATTAACGTCGGTAAATTAATTGGAACCTCGATAATATGTCAACTTTATAAGAAGTATTTTCAAACCCCCTAGAATTTATTTAAACCCAAGTTTTATTGCAAACCTCGATAAGAAGTCAGCTATGATAGCTAGACTTATCCAACAATCCCAATGAGAGTCTTGCTATCATGGTTCTACATTAAAATGTCACAAACCAAAATAAGACGGTTCGCTGATTCGTGGCGATTCACCAACCTTCTAAAGCGAACCAACCATTACTTTCGAAACTTAGCCATTTTGGAGTTCACATGAACCGCTTCAGAAGGGGACTCTGCGGGACCCTCCGGGAAATAATTCCAGGAATTTGGGAAACAACGGGAATTGAATTTAAGTTGTTGGACAGCGACGCGTATTAATCACCCGCCAGTGACAGAGAAACTCGTACAGAAAGATTTATACGCGTCACCAAGAGCCCAACTTTGGCCGTGTAATGTTGAGCGAATGAGCGGCGCTGCACATAAAGTAAAATGAAATAACGTCCTTATCTCGCGGCTCGCATGTTCGGGGCCCAACGATAAAACTGCTTTACTGCACGACCCCGTTACAACTAAAATCTATTAATATTTATGGAAACTCTGGAGAAAATAATTGAAAGCTCTTTTTAACAGAGTGGGATTTTATACTCGATCAACTGTATTACCGCTTGTTTGTGGAATCGCAAGAGGGTCTTCGTTTACGAAGGTAGTTTTAATTTGCTTTTGATGTTCGCGGAGGTTTCAACATTTCTAACTTGGACGAATTTCACCATACGTTTACTATCCAGTAAAGTCCACAGCAGGTCAATTAATTGTTGGTGGCCTAAATGATTATTTTATTTATTTATCAATTAAATGTATAAAATACATACATTAGCTAAACCTATAAGGTGTTTTATGCGATAATTTTGTTGTGTAAATTCAAAGTCAAGTTGCATAATGAGTTTTTGGAGGGATAAACTGGTTATAAAATTGAATTTGCGCAAACAACTTTGTGTTTGAATTTTTACATGAAGTATGAAAATGCTTATACAATTTAGCCGTGAACAATTGACTAGAAGTCTTACGTAGTTCTCCAGAGGTTGTAACTATTCTATTGTAAATTAATAACCAATTGAATTTTAGAGAAATTTTCCACTGAAAGTAAACTAGATTTCCAACAAATATAGCTAATCCGAATCACCTATACACCTACTACAACCTAGCAAAAAGGTCAACTGGATTCCAATTTTTTTCTACTAAATACATCCAAACCAATCTCATATCGTAAACATCTTTACTGCATACACAGTATACTCGTATGTTGGAGAAGTGGCATCGCCGCGTTGCTAGCGCAGCATCTCGGCCGCGGACTGGTTCTCTGACACCCCCGTAGCTTTGTCCACGACCGGTTCTTTTTGAATCAGCTGACCCCGGTGTCGACGCATTGAGAGGTGACCTTCGTACAGCGGGGGGGGGGGGGGGGGCACTTGCTGTCTCCCACTCGCTGCTCTCACGTTACCAACGGCCACGCACTTGTCCGAGTGGCTCGGAACCCACACTAGGAAACATGGAGTGATAGAACTTGAGGTGAAATCTCTGGTAACTTTGAAAAAAAAAACATCTACCTCTATACTGTAGTTTCAAAGGTGTGTATGTTCGATGGAGTCCTTCCGTAACAATTTTAATATAAGTTAATTGAGCTATTAGGATTTGATATAAGATACTTCAATGCACGAGTAACGATGAATTTCATTCTGTTGTGCCATTGGTTATTAATTTTGACGATTGTGGTAACTGAAAATAAACATGAGTGGAGAACAGATACAACGATAAACTTTGACATAGACTACAATTAGTTGATTCACTTGACTCCAATTGAACAGCAACTATCTAAAAATGATGATGTAGCTTCACATTACAAACTTTAGTTGAATCACGGCAGGACATTTAGTTGAGTACTGAAACACATGGGTCTCATTTTGTTGATATACAAATGTGATACTTTCGCGACCAACCCAAAACGTAATCCACGAATATCGAGAAAACATACTGAAATTACTGAACAACTAACCAGTTGCTAAAAGAAATTCCTTAGTACTCAATCATAACTTTATAACATGTAAGATACCCTAGTCAGTGACCAACAGTATATCCAATTAGCTCGTCATTCATCAACCCCATAACAATGCCCAGCTTAAAACCTCCATCACCATGAGTATGTATACACCACATAGTGTATAGTGTATTGGCGACACGAGATCCAAGTCTATTGTTTCGCCGAGTAACACAAATACGAACACGGTCCAAATTTGTCAACGTACCTATTTGCTCTCCACTACAACTCTTCGAACACTCGGACACAACAAACATTTGGTTTAACTACATATTTATCCAGACAAGCCAATAATCAAGAATAGCAATTTTTTAATAATAATGTCAATAGTATTTTTTCTCCATTAAACTATTTTTTATACCATTTTTTGGAGTTTTTCTTTCCGTAAATGTTGGGTGCACAACAAGTTTTAGACTAAACGTTCTATTCATCGACCAATCAATTATTGTTAAACACACACCACACGATAATTAGAAAAAGACTCGTTTAATATGGTAATGTCAACATTTGTAAAATATATGTCATGTTAAATGGCTATAATTAAACATATACCACAAGAATGACCAATAAAACAACAAATACTTACTAGGCTACTATATTCCAAAAACTCCACCTAACCCAGGTTAAACAGTAGCTAGTCCCATAAATTGCTAGGTAATTTACAGGACTAATTCCCTTACCGTGCCTCCTTTAACGAGAGTTGTTTTTCTCCAAGCGCTAGACAATTAATTTTTTGTGTAAACTAGATTAAAAGTCAAGCTGCATAATGGGTTTTTGTAGGATAAATGGGATGAGAAATTGAATTTGTGCAAACAATTTTGTTTGAATTCTACGCTTCGTGGTACCTATTCTAAATCCATACTAGTAAGACAAGTAAAGTACTTTGTATAATCTAGTCCCCCGTGTACAATTGACTAGAAGTCTTATATGCACTTCTTCAGAATTAGACTGTATTTTACATAATATTTTGCATAAAAGTAATAAACTTCCATTCAAGAATTCCAGCAATAATAGGTTAGAGCAAAGGGCATAAATATGACAGCGTAAATAAGTTGTGTGGTTACAAGGTAGCTGAAGCAAGAAGAATGCGATTTACATTGGGGATCACTAACTACTCCAGGAAGCTTAAGTAGATGCTTACAGTATGCTTTTGCTATACATCACTGATCCTAAGTTTAAAGATCAGTTTTAAAGCTCTGTTGTGTATATAAATAAGAGATTCTACAATGTCGAGTTAACTGCATAGTCATAGTTCATATCAATGTATAGTAGTTACCACAGAGAAGTACGGTATAAGATAAGTTTAAGGCACCGTGAACGTTATAGTACATCAGGGCAATGTTGGATTTCGCTTTAGACACTAGTGACTAGAGCTAGACACCACGTGAGTGAACTATTGAATGTTTCCTCTCTACCTTACACCTCTGAATCAGACTACACAAATCGACAGACTAGATACGGATAACGGGGAAAATTCATGGGACCAATTTCACGCCGAACAAGGAATTTTGTTTCCTCTCAAAAATTTAAAACAGTGAAAAACTTGATCATTTTGGAACCACAGTACCCTTTTCACTTCTCGATGTTGTATTTGTGTTCCTACGCCAATGGCATTCCTACGCCTATTGTTTCCCTTGTACCTTACTTCTCTGTGTACTGCAGTATATTTCTAGTCTACATACAGTGTACAGTAGTGACGTACCTTAATGCTATCATAGCAGGCAGTGACGCGGCCGTTCTGCACCTCCACATTGGCCGGAGGATGGGCGAACTTACACTCCGTATCAGGTCTAGAACACTTGTTGCGCTGGAACTCCCGGCACACCTCCAGCTGTAGCCACCGTGAGTCTTTGCCATTGAGCAGATTGTTCATGTTCACCATAGCCATGGTCAGAGGCGGGGAAGGGGGTACTGGGACACAGGGAACACTTAGCACCTGAGGTGCGGCCAGCTCATCACTCGGGGTGGACGCCACGGCCGCGGGATCGTACTCGAAGTAAATGTTGCAGGAAATGTCGACGACGGGGTGAAGGAAGCGAAAGCGAAGCTAGCGGACCGGTCAAGCTGGCATATCGGTTGGCCGACAAGCTAAGCGGAGTGATGGCGGGGGTGGCGGAGTGTCCTCTGAGGGTTAGGTCTGCAAAAGAGGAAAACACCTGTCAGTGTCGTACATGGCTGTAGGTAAGCGTTTAGTGGTGGGTGGTGGCTAAAGGGTAGCACTAACTCCGATCAACCCATTTAGTGTATAGCAAATTGCAAACCATCCATAAAAAATTCCCTATCAGGTAGGACATCCAATCTCAATTTAGAAAGGAATGCAACAAAAGAATATCAATTTCTGTGAAAACCCCCAATTGATTCAACCAGTTTTCACATTGTTACCCAAAACTAGAATAACCCGACGGTTCTCTAGGTGTGTATACTTACAAGGGACTGTTTGAAGTTGTAAAAGTGGACTACAAAAAGATAACCCAATTAAAAACTACAACAAAAACGGATTGGTCCTTTGTGAAATTTTGTATCTCATAAAATCTTTCACGTAGACTATCAGTGCTTGGGGATGGAAATAGAATATTTATGTGCAAAATATTTTTAGGGGGTTCGAAAGAAAAAAAATTGCATTCATAAAAAAATTCAAAACGTATTTTCAACTTTTTCAAGATTAAAAACACCCCGTAGCAAATGTTTCCTCAAAACGTTATTCTACATAGTAACCTCCAAGTGTGCATAATCCCTCTATAGCCACCGCTCCCACACTCACCATAGGACACAAGAGTGACTGTCCACGCCCAGGGCAGTGATAACGGCAAAGCAAAGCGGAAAAGTAGAAAAGCGAGAAAAGATTGTAGGGGAGCCACTCTTGTGTCCCCTGGCTACATAGACAACGTTATGCACTCAGTAATCGACCAAGCATAGGTGGAAGCCACAGAAAAGAGGGTCTAAAGTTACAGGGTGCCTACCTCCTACCTTGCTGCCACGCTGTACCGCACCATAGTTGTAACACTATAGTTGATATGGTTAAACATAGTGCTATGTATAGAATACACTATTGCACCATAGTTGTACCACTATAGTTGATATGGTTAAACATAGTGCTATCTATAGAATACACAATTGCACCATAGTTGTAACACTATAGTTGATATGGTTAAACATAGTGCAATGTATAGAATACACTATTGCACCATAGTTGTACCACTATAGTTGATATGGTTAAGCTTATTGCTATCAAAAGATTATACTATCACACCATAGTTGTAACACTATATTTTATATGGTTTAACTTATTGCTATGTGAAGAATATACTATGTATAATAGATTGATTACACAACCTTCATATTTCTAGTCTATTTAAACAATCGTGCAACTGAAGAACACCAATCATTGAGTCGTTACCTCAGTTTTTGGATCATTCCATACAAAAGCCATTAATTTTTTCAGGTTGAAATGATTTAATTATCTACAATCCTAATTATGTTAAAGGTAAGGTTGGATTAGGTTAGGTTAGGGTTAGGGTTGGGTTAGGTTAGGGTTAGGGTTGGGTTAGGTTAGGGTTGGGTTAGGTAGGGTTGGGTTAGGTAGGGTTGGGTTAGGTTAGGTTAGATTAGAACCGGGTCATAAACTAAAACTTCAATTGTGTATTGTTACATACAAGTTATACTGGCACCAGTAGTTTGGCAGAAAAATACACTATAAAATATTTAGGAACTTATATATTTGTTAATTATGTAGGTAAGAGCAATACTGACTGAAATTTATATAAAAAATTTCATAAAAAGAAATGAAGAACAACGTCACAAAAGAACTCTCACGAACCAGCTATAATTTCACAACATTTCCCATACACTTACGTTTTTGCAACCGACCACACTCTCCGCTATCACAAACTCAATAAAGAATACTATCACCATCACTATGGATGAAAAAATTGAACAACAACATAAAAATGAGGAACTCTAGACATTACGACAATTCACGTTGAAAACCGGAGCACCGAGTCAACCATTATCACAATTTTTGCCTATCAAAATGTCATTAGTACTTAATCTCAAGATTGGCCTATCTCCTTATTCCTTTTATAGCCATATCTTATCGCCTTATCATCAAACAGCGCCGCCAAACACTCTTCCACCCGTGACATATCTTTACGTCAAAAAACGCGTGTCGCAATAACCCGGGGCAAAATTAGTTTCGCGCCAAAAGCAATATAACAGGTAGGATGAGAAATGGACGGCAAATGTCAACGGCTCAAACGACAATAAGGTGGGCAAATATTAGCGGCAAATTGACAAACTACGGTGTGACAACAGTCTTCCCCTCTGACGGCCTTGTTTGGGCAGATATACAGGGTGAGGGGTTACGATTGTACTGTGAGAGGTGGAAAAACTGATTAATACAGGAATTACTGTACTGGAGTGTGAAATGTGTATTTGAGTTCAAATAAACCTTTTGAAAGACCCTTTAAGTATAGAAGAGTGAAATTATTCCTTTTGGAAGGGCAGGCTTTAACTAATGTTTTTAAACTACTGTATATTAATACCATTATTGTTATAAGAAGCCTGGAAAAGTGTCCCAAATTACTGACCGATAAAAACTTTATAATTTCTAATAATAAATTCCGGATCCCGGAACGATGAAAATATACACAAAAGAATAATTTGTCATTGGTAAATTATGTGTAGATAGATGTTCATGCGATTTCGTTGGGTTTATAAACAAACTGAGATTAGAGTATCGGTTTAAAGTGTCGAAGAATCTTGAATAACTAAAAATTGCAAACAATCTTTTATATAATAAAAAATTTAACATAGGTACCATTAACCCAAAATTTGGAGCTTCGTAAAATGTATTACAAAATACCATTTACGATGCAAAGAGAATGCGTTAATATGTTTCTTGGAGAGAAAGAAAGTTGTTAAAGAAGTGGTAAAATACATGACAGCTAAAGGAAAAACTAAAAAAATAAGTTTTTAACAAATTAGGCACAGCGTGGGATGGGTTATCAAGCAATCGATGTCCACCGCGAATAGTGACGAAGGGAATTTGTTGCGTTTGTTTTAAAACCTACTATTTTTGAAACGTTTGCACGTATTTTTGAGCACATGAAAACAGCCAATCTAATAAAAAATATACGAAACCATATTATGTTGCAACCTCAACATTGTTGTATAGTAAAACTATGATCGTTTCGTTTCTACAAAGTTTGTGTTTTACTCTCAAAGATATCAATGTGGTGGACATTTTGCTTGGACTAGGAAACTGTAAAGAAACAAGAAGGTCGAACAAAGTCATTTCCTCGCTAATAAAGATTGATTAGAAAATCTTTTGGTTTCAATCAACATCATGGGCAAGTGGAATTTCCCTAGGGTAGATACTACAATGTGCATGACAATCAATGATTGAAAATCAATCTGAGATAGAAGTATCTGCAAGAATCGATGCACCAGACGGAAGTCGAGTTTTGCTATTATCATATCGTGTTTCCCCGCAATTGACGCAAGACCTAAGTTAGCCATCACGGAAAACGCAAAAAATACGATAACTCCTCATACTTACAACGTTTAAGAATATCCATCCCGTTGAGATTGAAGTCGCCAACCACTATTTCAGTGTTTGCTCAACCAAACGTAACCGTTTCTCATAACCGGTATAAACCAAGCGAGAGCTCAACAAATGGATGTTGATGAAATTGGTGACAGCGAGAAGTGAGTAATTTGGGGCCGTCCGCAGGAAACCTGATAGCAATGTCCACATCCGTAGTTAAACCCTCTACCCTACACAGCTACACATCCACACAGTATAGCTTTCCACAAGCCACACTAGCACACACAGACATCAATTTGTCAATCAATTTGTCAAATAAATAGAACAAAAGTACATTCCGACAATCACCAGTCACCACATGCTCTAATAGATTTGTCAACGGCTAATACAACCCCGAATACAAGCGTTCTAGTTTTTATTTCAGCAAACTGAAGTTGTCACATATCCACAACCTCACACTTCAAACCAGCGGCAGTAACGTTTTGATACCATGACTTGATTCAAAGAACCTTTTTCAACTTAACCATTTTAACTCAAAACGCACAAAGAAAACGTTTATAATGTTAGCAAGACGTAGTTTATGTAAATTAACACTAAACGTTATTTACGTGGGAGATCTCCAACCAATGAAGAGCTCATCTCGTCCGTGAGGTGTACATTTTTAGAGGGTTTATCATTTTTTAGATAATATGTATGCTGTTTAAAACTGTTTAAAATAGGCGTAGAATTGTCACACATTTAAAAGCTAAAAGTGATTGGCGGGACTTTAAAACTCCTACAGGATATAAATCTTTTCTAACACATTGTCGAACACATTGTTGACGTTTAATCTTCACCCGAACATGAAATTCCTAATTCATCTTTGCTACCCCTATTACATGCTCTTTAGTACTTCACACCTCGCATAACGTACGTGCACAACTCCTACTCACGTATTGAGTATTGTGTAGGCAATGAGTAACGGCTACACGCTGGCCACGAAATAGGGCAAGTCAAAACTGTACGTGGGCCGGGAGTTATTGTAGACGTATTGACTGAGAAACGTGTTAATTATTGGTACAGAGCTAGAAAGCTTCGTGTCTGCTGCCTACATGGGAACTATATGTTCTCATGTCGGACCACTGCGAACTGAAACCTCGCTTGCTCGGCATTCATCGGCAATTCAATAACTCGGCATTGGACTTGGATATTCAAAAGTCTAAATAGCCATCAAGCCACGTTCGACAGAATTCGCGGGCTAACCAATCGGCTGAGGTAGGATGTGTTTGAAAAATAACACCTTTATAAGCTATTTTAAATCTAATCAATCGACATTTCTGCTATCCCCGCAATAAGGACTTTTTAAATGTTATTTAGTTATCCGACACCACTGGAGACTTAAAAGTGCCGAATTAGCGAGTATCTACTGAAGAGACAAATGCTAGGCTCCTAAAGGTGCCGAAACGTCTATCCTCGCTAAACCAAGAGTCGATCGAATATTCCTAAATTATAGTATTTTCAGGTAATCAATACTGTAGTCTTCACGTTGAAACACTTAAGGAACCTAAATATTTTTCATAAAGCCACACAACTGCCAGGACAAAGCGTCAACA